ATGAAGGTCCTGGACTCTCTCCAAGAACCTGCGTGCGCGCAGGTTGGTGTGATATGGCCTAAAATTATATTGGGCCCATCCTCTTAGAAATGGCTTAAGGCAAACAATTGTCTAGTTCTGTGATACATTCCTATTTCAGAAAGGCTTGAAAACAAGGAAGGTACCAGGGGATTGTGGATGAAAATATGATTCTAGCACTTTTGGGTTCATAATGTCTGTGACACAGCTGGGCAGAGAAGTTTGGTATTAGACCAGTTAACCTTTTACTGTGATCCCTTTAAATGCGCACACAACACAGGAGAGGAGGATTATGAAACCAAAAATCTGGCACTTTAAGCCTTAATTACATTACCCTGAAGTGTACTCTATACTCAGAATGGATGTTTGACCTTTTTTGACTTCGTTATTTTACTAGGGAGAGAAAATGCATTGAAATGCTTTGGCAACACCTAAAGCAGATGTGACCACCTAGTGGCCTCAACACCCTGTTCGGAGTTAATTCACAGTTCCTGTACTGCTTCCCAGACAGGGTCTGTGAGCTCCCCCTCCTATCTTCCAGCTTCAGCTTCCTGCCGTTGCCCTTGCCTCTAGGAACTGGAGGGGCTGGAGTCCCTGCATGGCACAGCATAGTGCAGCAGAATGTGCACCATTAGGTGTCATGGTGAAATGGGGAGGCCAGCATGGTGCTGCTGCGGGATGTGCAGCCCAGGAGAGTATGGCCTTCAGCTCCTGAGATGTTGGATAGCTATGATCCAGAAGATAACAACATATAAAAGCAGTACTTTTTAAATCTTATTGGAAAATCTTGATTCACATTTTCATCCTGATAGTATTGGTGGGACAATAATACATGTAACGTTTTGCTACTAAAAAAAGGATTTGGTAAGGGGTGGGGTGCAGTCAAAAAACAAAGACATTTTGAATTGGAGGACTGCTGCAGGTAAGATCTTGAAGAGATTGGTGATGTGTGTTAGAAACTACTGGATGAGGGTTGGTGAAAGTAAACAGTAGCATGTAAGGTTTAAGGAGTGAGTTTGATGGGAGGTGTGGATTGGTATATTTGTGCTTAACCCTTCTGTATCCTGAGAACTATTTAGAAGAGTGAGTAAACAGTATTACAGAGTTTGAGAACCCCTGACATAAATGTTTTAAATTGAATAATCGCAGGGAAAAATCTTCGTTATGTTAAATCTTACATTTATAAAATTTTAATGTTGGGTTTAAATTGACCCAGTCTAGGTTTTTGTTTTTTTGGGTTTTTTTTCATTTTAAATGATATTGCTGAGATCAGTGGTATGAACAGTTGGGATGGCTGAAAATTGGAGGGATTAGCAATCGTATGCTTGGAGCTCTTTCATGCTGTGATTTAAATGTGAGGAAATGTAATTCAAGACATAAAAATGCAAAACAAGAGAGAGAAATTGGATAATTAATTCTGTAAGAGACTTTGGGGTAGAGGTGAAGTGCAGCAAATTGAAATTGTAATGTCATGCAGGAACAAAGGAAGACCACTCTTTCAGTCTGCATCTGCTGATGCACTGTATTGTAAAGTAGAAGAAAACAATGGTTTTTTGTTTTCAGATCAAATTGTACTTTAGTTCAGATGAATGAACCATGGACCATCATAAAAGAATTTAGGGTGAAATTTCATGCAGTACTCTAAACTGTCTGCCCAGAGGAGCTTTCCATCTATTGACTCTTCTGTGAAATCCTATGAAATGTGTATTTTCATTTCTAACCAGGAGAACTTTACAGTCTTTTCTCTGATGCCTGATGAAGGGTGTTTGTGCCCAAAAGCTTGCAATTAAAGGCTTTTTTTGCAAAAATCTTGTTGGTCTAATAGAAGATATCACCTCTACCATGAGCCCTGAGTACAATACACTATTCATTTTTGGTTGACTTTATCAGAAAGTAGCAATGGTCCAAGGGATTGAGGTATGACAAAGGATTGAATGAACTGGAAGCCAGCAGGGTGCATGTGACCTGTGAGGGGCTAACACCTGGCCCATCAGGCTCCCTCCTCCAGTTTCCTTTTCCTGCCCTGTCCCTGGATTGCGGGGCTTATGGCCTGTGGGGGCCCAGGGAGCCTTTTGGGGAGGTGGGTGGTGCTATCTATCCATGCTCCCCACACAGTAGGGGTGCCTGTATAATGTGTTGCCTGTGCAGCTGGTGGGGGAATTACCTTGGGGCTCCGTGTAGCATGCAGCCCCTGCCCACTCAAATTGGATGGGTCTGAACTAAAGTGTTAAGGGCCTTATTATACCTTACTCTGTAAGCCACACAAACATTAATTAGCTTCGTGTTGTTCAGCTTGGTGGAGCAGTGTCATCTTGGGGTGAAAACTATCTCTGACTATCCTTAACCTGCACAGTTCTGAGTTGCCACTGGAAGTTTGGTGAGCAGGAGCAGGGCTAGAAGCAGTTCCAGCTCACTGTATTTATTCAATGCATGTAGGATAAGTCCATCTAAAGAATGAGGTGGGTAGGAGCCAAGTGGGGATTTTCAAGAGAGAAATCCCATTGAAAAGGAGAGCATGGGAAAGTAAGAGCTAATATGATATGTTTTTTTTTTTTAAGTAGTAAAAGCTTCCTGTGAATCTGAAAGCTGAGTTCCTCACTATTTCCAGTGCCTGTGTTGTCTCCTGTTGCCACCCAGACTGGCTTGTTGCTTGAGCTCCAAAGGGTCTGATGTTTTTTTTTCCTGTGCTGCTGCTTGAGCTCCAGAGAAAGGATCAGGCCCTTCAGAGCTCAGGTGGTGCCCAGCTTGGGTGGGGGACAAACTCTGGAGGGGTCTGATCCTTTTTTTTTTTTTTTTTTTTTCCAGAG